CTGTGTGGTAGGCAGTGGCTCCTAAAGATGGTTATGCTCTAATTCTTGAAGCCTAAACTTATGGTACTTTACACTGCAGAAGGGACTTCACAGGTGAGTGATTCAGATGGCCCAATTCAATCACAAGAGTCCTTAAAAGAAGATCTTTCAAGTCTATAGTCAAAAACAAGAGGGAAGAGCATCCAAGGGAGAATGGTAAGAGACAGCAGGACAAAGCCATGGAAATGCAGGGAGGGACACTCGCTAAGGGACGCAGGCAATCACCAGGAGCTGACAAGCACCAGTGAATTCTTCCCTAGATCCTGCAGGAGGTAATGATGGCCTGCCGCTCCTCGTTTGTAGCCAATGAGCTCGGTGCTGGCCTTCTAACCTGCAGAGATATAAGAACAACCTCATACTATTGGGACTACTGGGTTGGTGGTGATTTTTTACAGAAGAGACAGAAAACTAACCCAGCCTGCGTGCTTCCAGGCACTCCTGTGTCCACCTTTTTTTCTCCACAAGCGTGATCTTCGGTTCTGATAGTCACAGTATGCTAGCAGCCCCTGCACCTCTTTCAGCTAAGCCAGAATGCTGGAGGTCGAATTGGCAAGAGGAATAGGCCAGAGGCTGAGCAGTGTGGGCTCACATTTGGGTCCTGCCACCTCGCATCTGGATGAACCAGTACACCGAACCCTTTGACTCTAGTTTGCTGAAAAGACAGAGTTGGGAACAGAATGACCCACAATTCCTTTTGCCTTGACTCTGGGCAGCCTCACAGAGCATCCGCTTCCTGCTGAGAGTCAGTGCCAAGGGAGACTCTGTCACAGCCCTGTCCATAAAGAGGAAGCATGGTGGGAGGTTCCCCTGGGCTTAATCTTAGGGTGCAGTTTTGTTTGTTTGGTGGAAGATGAATGGTTAAATGTATTTGTTAAAAGGAAATATGTTATCCTAACTTTTATGCTTCTTCAACAGAGAGTGAGATTTAAGGACTATTTAAGATATAAGAGGATATAGAAACAAGTTTGAAATTTCTAGTTTTGCTCTTTTCAGTATGAAACCCATGGGGCTGGGGGTGCAGCTCAGTGGCATAAGCATCTACCTGGCAAGGGCAAGGTCCTGAGTTCGAGCCCTGGTATCAAAAAAGAAAGAAAGGAAGGAAGGAAAGAAGGAAGGAAGACAGAGAGAAAGAGAGACAGAGAAAGAAAG